TCTGTGAGATATATTCCTTGGGGCTTTTGATAAAACCCATATCTTTATCCCTAGTTCATTTACAACTAAAGAGAGCAGCATAATGGTAACTTTGAGACTTTCCTTTTGATAGTAATTTCCATTATCATTTGAATGGGAGAATTTCTTAGGACATGATTTAGAATCATTTCTAGGATATAAATTTTAGTATAATCTTATTCTATAATGAGACAAAACTGTGTCTTTGTAACAATATGTGATAATTTTAAGCCTTTGTTTTAATAGTTATGGACAGAGTTTAATGGCATCCAAAGTACTCTATGTCTGTCTGAATTTTTTGCCTGTACTCTTCTTTTTTCTTAAAAGCATGATAGACCCCTCTGCAAATACAGAGCCTTTGTTGTTGCTTTGCTGCACTTTGGTACATTGCTCTTTATTCCTTAATCTAGCAGCATCCTTAGATTATAGTATATCTTACTTAGTTGCAGCTAAAAAAAATCGCTAGCCTAGGCTTTAACTGGGAGTTTCTATTCTCTAGAAGGTTACTGTGAACCTTTCAGAACAGTGGAAAACAACCAAAAGAGCTGTCTCAAAGACTGTTGTGCCCTCAGAATTTGTCCAGCTTTTACTGTAGACACTCTGGACAGGCATGGTTATCTCATGTCCAAGCTCGTAACAGATGAACACAGCACATTGGAAGAAAGTAGGAGCGGCGCGGTGGCTCACGCCTGTAATCCCAGCACTTTGGGAGGCTGGGGTGGGTGGATCACCTGAGGTCAGGAGTTCGAGACCAGCCTGACCAATATGGTGAAACCCCATCTTTTAAAAAAAAAAAAAAGAGGCCGGGCGCGGTGGCTCAAGCCTGTAATCCCAGCACTTTGGGAGGCCGAGGCGGGTGGATCACGAGGTCAAGAGATCGAGACCATCCTGGTCAACACGGTGAAACCCCGTCTCTACTAAAAATACAAAAAATTAGCTGGGCATGGTGGCGCGTGCCTGTAATCCCAGCTACTCAGGAGGCTGAGGCAGGAGAATTGCCTGAACCCAGGAGGTGGAGGTTGCGGTGAGCTGAGATCGCGCCATTGCACCCCAGCCTGGGTAAAAAGAGTGAAACTCCGTCCCCAATAAAAAAAAAAAAAAAAAAAGAAAGTGGGGAGTCTGTCAGAGGCAGGTATATCGATAGTGTGGGAGGAGACATAGCAAATTACTTAGCAAATATTTAAAAATATTTTAAATCCAACAGCAATCTGAGGCAAATGATTCTGCATACCTCAGGGCTGAGAGAATCACTTTATAACTTATTTGTTATAGCCCTTTACATTTTATGAAGTATTTTACATACATCAGAACTGGATACTTATAATAATACATTATGAATATAACTAAGTTTTCATCATGAAAAAATGAATTATACTGAGCATGATGTTTAAGAAGAAGGCAGGAAGGTATATTAACATACCTGAAATACATCAAAAATAATTACAAGTTTTACATTTTGGCACTTAAGAGATATACATTAGTTATCCAAAAATTCATATGTATGGTTTCCTTCAAGACCAACACGGGGTATCACTGTGTGATTTTTGACAGCATTCAGTGACTGCTGGTCATTAAATGGGATGATTGTCATCAGTGTAAGTATCACACTATTTCTCCTGCTAAATGCAAGTTTAACAGATACTTATGGATGCCAATACCACATATTCTGACAGATAACAGAAATACTAGGCTTTTATAAGATTCTCAGAGTGTTTTCCCTATATTGCACTTTCTAGATAACACAATTTTAACAATGATATAATGTGATCTTGGTTCTAGACACAGGAGTGGGGAACACATGAATTTACCTTTTTCTTCTTCCTTTTCTTAAAATTTTTGGTATAGTCTCTTAGGAATATAGCAAGGAGAAATAATAAAATATACATGTGCTTTGGGCTTCTGAGGAAAAAAAAGATCTCTTCTGCCTTAGCCATTTCATTTTCACAACTGAAAATAAGGAACTATTTGATGTTCCTAACTCGTTAAAGATATCATTGCCATAAATGCAGTGTTCTGCAGAAAACTTTTTAAAACAGGAGAACAATTTGTACTACATTTACTAACAATTATACTACATTACCAATTATAATACATTTACCAATTATGAATAAAAAGTACTGAATAAATTCAGAGTAAAAACATCAGATTAGATTTTACACTCTAAGTGAAATGGGACTTTAAAATGTTAAGATGTAATTTCCTCTAATACTATAGCATTCCTGATGCCCTTTAATTCCTTGGTTAATATTCCTTGATAACTTTTTGATCATCGCCACACCTCAAGGAGGAGAACAAAGGTTCTTTTGAGCTTGCTGGCTGTTAATTTTTAATTCTCACCTGTGTGGCTCTGTTTTATACAAAGCCATTTATCCTTCATTTTTCTTTTCTATTTTACAGCTGCTTATTCTGCTTGAAGTTTTTTAGTTAGGAATGGTCAGAATGTATGCCCTGAGTTCATGATATTCTCATGGAAATTGTTAATCTTATAAATTTTTTACATGATACAAATGATAAACTAGCTCTATAATAATAATAATTTAAAAACTTCTGGGGATACTAAACAAATAACAGGCCAGTTTACCATACTTTACAAACCAAAGAGCACATGGTAAAGCAGTAAGCACAGGCTTTGGACAAAAACCAACCAACCTGGGTTGGAATCCCAGTGCTGCCACTCACTGCCAACTCTATGACTTTTAAGGCAAGTCACTTAATCTTTCTGACCCACTATTACCTCCAAAGTAAATTGGGGCTCATTCCACCTGCCCTGCAAGTTTTTGTGAGGGTTAGTAGTGAAGTCTGTACATTATTTGATACATCATAGGTACTCTACAGTAGTTAAAGAATTATTGGCTGAATTCTGAGTTGGGCAATCTGCTGGTCCTGTATCTGACATGGAACTCTTTCCAGAGTTGATACAGTTTATGAAACTTCTTTTGAATATCAATATGACCAATGTACTTGGTAGGTTTTTTTAAAAAATAATAACATAGTTTGGGTGTCTTCACCTCCAAAACTAACTTTATTTTACTTTTTTATTTTTATATTGAGGCAGAGTCTTGCTGTTGACCAGGCTAAAGTGCAGTGGTGGGATCTCAGCTCACTGCAACCTCTGTCTCCCAGGTTCATGTGATTCTCCTGCCTCAGTCTCCTGAGTAGCTGGGATTACAGGCCTGCCACGATGCTTGGCTATGATTTTTGTATTTTTACTAGAGACAGGGTTTCACCGTCTTGGCCAGGCTGTTCTCAAACTCCTGACCTCAAGTTATCCACTGGCCACAGCCTCCCAAAGTGCTCAGATTATAGGCATCAGCCACCATGCCTGGCCTATTTTTATTTTTTGAGACAGGATCTGGCTCTATCACCCAGGTTGGAGTGCAATAGTGTGATCTCAGCTCACTGCAGCCTCTGTCTCCCAGGCTCCAACTATCCTCCCACCTCGGCCTCCTGAGTAGCTGGGACCACCATGGCGTGTACCACCATGCCCATCTAATTTTTGTATTTTTGGTAAAGATGGGGTTTTGCCATGTTGCCCAGACTGGTCTGGAACTCCTGGGCTCAAGTGATCCTCCCACCTTGGCTTCCCAAAGTGCTGGGATCACAGACATGAGTCACCGTGCCCATCCCTATTTTCTTTTAAAAATGTGTTTTTTACAAAATTTATAGCAAGTCTATGTATTTGCTGTGCTTTGTGATCATTTTTTTCAATGACAAAAAATTTCCAATTTTGTTAACTTCCATGGTAAAATGATCTAATTTCAAAAATTTGTTCTAGAGCTAAGATCCTTATAACCTATAAATGTGTGTGAATAGTTAGTTGGCAGGTCCTACAAAGACATGTCATTTTTATTCATGTATTTGGGTTGTTTTAACAGTTCTGTAATATTTAAAATACTTTTCTTCTTATAGTCAGAATTCTCAGCATCTACTCCCATGCCTTCCTTTTTAAGTCTATCAGCCAGTTTAAGGGTATTCACAATAATACAACTTAAAGACAAAGTGCCCATAAGTCATTGTTTCTAACAGACAGCATAACACCGTAGAAATTGCCCTGAGCAAGGAGTTAGAAGACTGGAATTCAAGTCCAAATTCTGCCACTAACTTTATAAGATGACCTTAGGCAAGTCATGTCACTTCTCTCATTTGTCAAATAATGTGGATGATACCATTCTAAGTTATTTTCCACCTCTAAAATTGCTTTCATTTACTACTATTATTTTAACAATAATGAAAACCCTTTCTGGGAATTGTCTTAAGCACCAGATGGGTAGAGAAGAATTTTTTTTTTTAAGACGGAGTCTCACTCTGTCATCCAGGCTGGAGTTCAGTGGTGCCAGCTCAGCTCAGTGCAACCTCCATCTCTCAGGTTCAAGTGATTCTTCTGCCACAGCCCCCTGAGTAGCTGGAATTACAGGCGCACACCACCACTCCCAGCCAATTTTTGTATTTTTAGTAGAGACAGGGTTTCACCATGTTGGCCAGGCTGGTCTCAAACTCCTGACCTAATGATCTGCCTGCCTCAGCCTCCCAAAGTGCTGGGATTACAGGTGTGAGCCACCACACCCGGCCAGGTAGAGAAGAATTTACTGATGATTAAGGTTGTGTTTTTCAACCTGCAGTTCAGAGACCCTCAAAATAAAAATTACTTGAGGTTCCTATGAAAAATACAGATTCCTGTCCTCTCCGTGGCTGAATCAGAATCTCCTAAGGTGAGGCTCAGGTTTCTGCATTTTTCACAAGTCTGTAATGGTTACAGTGCACCCTAATGTTTGAGAACCAGTGGCTTAAAGAGAATGCAACCTAAGAGGGCAAGGCTACTGCATAGCTTAAATTGCTGCAGGCTTTGGTAATCCCTTCTAACCACGGTGCCACCATGTGGAGGAGCCTGGAAGAAAGCTGTTACTCAAAGCACAACAGTCAGCCTTGTGCTTGGGTCCTGCTTCATGCTTGCCATGTTTCATAACAAAACACAAAGACAAGTCTTCACATCAGCACTTAGTCTTGATATCCAAGTCACTGACTACCGTACTTACGGTAACAACTTGAAAAGGACTGCAACTCTCCCCTCACTAATGGTGACAGGGTTGGCTTATGACACCTGGCTCAGGGAAGAAAAATGAGTAAACCTCTGCCTCTTTACTCTTGATTCCTCCTCCACCCCAATACTGTTAACACATCATCCTGTGTGATTCAAATAATCTGGCAGATGAAATACAGATAATCTATGTCACATTGTTCTCATCACTCTATGGCCAGATATTGTACTAATCTAATTTTAAAAATCCCTTTCTGTACAATAGAAATAACCAAAGCCCATTCTTTCTCCTTCTTTCCTGTCTAATGCCTTGATAGGAACAAAATATCAAGTAAGGATACATGCTAGAGATGTTAAATTCATACAAGTAATGTAAATTACAAAGAGAGGTGATAATTTTTTTCCTAGATTTTCACAATAAATCCCTCTCATGAAAATCTGTTGATAATTTTAACAGGAAACTTAAAAGACATTTTGTTGCAAGACTGTCTTAATGATTATAAGAATAATGCCATTATCTATTCTCAATATAGATAAACATAACAGCAACTTTAAAAGGTCAAGTATACTCATAAGTGAAGATGAAATTTCTTTTTCAACAACCAATATGCCAATATCCAACTTCCAGGTTTTATTCAACTCTAATGTCATGGGTTTCTCCTACCCCATTCAAAACTCCTGCCAAATGTCCACAAAATTGACACCAAAATCAAAAAACAGAAAGAGAGGAGTAGGGAGAGGGAAAAGAGAGAAATAGAGTGTGAGGAAGGAAGGAACTTGACAAGAGCTACCATGCAAAATGACCAGAAGAACTGGAATTCAGTGGCACAGATCAGCAGGAGCAGAGGAATGCTGAAAAAGATGATGCTGCATAGAGTCTAATTTGGAGATGCCTGTATGATGCCGGATGACCAAGTACTCAGGTCACAAGCGTATTCATGGACCCATAAGAACCAGGATCTTGACCCAAACTCATAAGATCTTCTAAAAAGAAAATACTTCACCTAAATTGAAGTAATTCCTAAGTCAAACACCAGAAGAGTTCCTTATTTGATGTAAGTTGTGCCTAAAACTTTGGCTGATACAAAGAAACCCGTCCACTAAGGCACCCTGAGGCAATCTGACAATGTGTTGGAGAGAACTTTGTTGTCAGTACCACATCATTATGAGAGTACAGAGAACGGATCACCCGCAAGGGACTGGCTTCTTTGGGCAAGCAGTCGACAAGTTCACTGCACTGTTTGTCAAATCCCAACAAGCGAATCCCATAGCCATGTGGGGAAGAAATCATTCGCCCATCAGGGCTGAAGCAAAGTTCTTTGATGTAACCCCTGCCTACATTGGCTTCTTCAATGTAATGAGTCAGTCGTAGAGAACAGCGAGGTGAGACAGGTCGCACTGGAGCTCCTTCTTGGAATTCATAGACACAAGTACACTAGGGGGAGAGAAGGGAGACAAACCAAGGTTACAGAGCCCAAATAGTGCTACAGATATTCCTTGTTTTTAAAATGCTCAACAGATTGCCAAAGCCACAGAATTGTTACGAGACATCACTCAGGATAATGCTATCTCCCTCCCAACTAACATACCCCATAAGAAGGCCCCATACCTTATCTTCATAAGCTGAGGTTAGTCTGTGCTGTGACACTTTAAAGCCTTTTGCTCCCTGAGGCTGCCTGTGACTTCTGTAGAAGTACATTCTCTTTTCTAAGGGCAACAACAATGTTGATATTTTTTAAATTCCTGGAGTACGTCCTAGAGTGTCTTACCTCTTCCCCTACACAATTCAAAGGCTCGTCTCTTCTTTCCTTTCAGCTGTGGCCTCTAGGGCCTCTTGAAAGACTCTTGTTTTACAAGGTGATGAGAATCAAAGTCATTTAACACCTTTCCCCCTAGTCATCAGTATAGCCCCTTCCTTTCCCAGAGTTTCCCCTGGTTTTTAAAAAAAAAAATTACAATCCTCAATTGGCTTAGTAAAATTTCAAATTTAGCCAGCTTAGCTGAGACATTTCAGACCTATGTTTATTATACAAGGGTTTGTTGCTGTTGTTGTTCTTGTTTTTAAAGGTGAGATGAAGGAGGCAAAATTTAAGAAGCTGGGCTAAATCCGAGCTGATGCTAGCCTTTAAAGTACTTCCCAGCTTTCTAAACCCTGGCAGGAGAGAAGAAGAGTTGGTAAGGGATAATGATACCATAGGAAGCAAGAGGACAGAAACAGGAGACTCAAGAAGCAGGATCTCTAGCAGTATGCCCTTGATGGCAGAGACTGCAGTCAGTGATCGGCCTAAGGTCTGCACACATGGCAATGGCAATTTGTCCAACGAGCTCTGTTGAAGGTGGAGTGCTGCTGCCTGTACCTCCTCATCATCACTGTTGCTTGAGCACCGGAGAAGAGTGGCCCAGCCTTTTGGGTGCAGCTGTAAGGATGTGATGCAGTTTCCATGGTCACTCTCACCAAGAACTTCAGGGGTTACAACTTCAAGACTATTTCGTGGTGAAACTCCTGAGATAAAAGAAAATGAGGATGTGGGATTTGTATTATCAAAAAACTAAGTCAGTTCATCAGAGTTTTATTTCTGGCAGCCACCTCCCATGCCTTCATTCCTTAGTCTGCCCCTTATGCTACCATATGTTAAAGAGTGTGGTACTCCCCAACGTATGGTGTGTGAGTTTTGGCGTGGGGGGGAGGGGGCGGTGAAGGTGTGGGGAAAATATATAAATAGAATGAAAGAATCCAAGTTCCTGCAGCAGGTTTTGTCACTGACCTAAGGCTAAGGCATACAAGCTGACTAGGGATTCTTTTATTTGGATCTTACATCTCAGAATGCTCTTTGAGTAAGAACCAAAGTATTGTTGACATGAAAGGACTCTAGAAAGGTAAAAGGTAACAATTCTCATCTCATTGTACCTGGTGCTTTCTGGTCCAGAGAAGGAAATACTTGGAAGCCATGAGGATTGCCTTTAAGCAAATAAAAAGATCAGGACTTACGCTACCCCCTGCTCCCAACAACAGCACTATAAACAAAAAATAAAATTTTGGAGATGAGGAAGGACACCTCACATAAAGGCATGTAAAAACAAAGGATGAGAGACACTGCCAACTATGCATCTTCCTGGTGACTCTGCCCCATCATTTCCTTCTACCCAACTCCCAATGAAAATGACTGCTGGAGTAAGCCACTGTTACCAGTGGGAGTATATTATATCCTGTGCTCCTTGGAGGTTCCTCAGGAGCCGGTAAAAGTGGGAAACCATGTGTGAGATGAGGTGGAGATGGGGTGGGGAAGACTGGAGGTCAAGAGCCTTCCTAAGTTTTATTTTATATATATATATAAAATAAATAAAATATATATATATATATTAAAAGCCTACAGCACCCAGTATTTCCAGGCGGTCTCCCATCCAAGTACTAACCAGGCCCAACCCTGCTTAGCTTCCAAGATCAAATGACATCAGGCACGTTCAGGGTGGTATGGCCGTAGAGCCTCATTCTTCTTGAACCAGAGCTACTTTAATGTTAACTGGGCTACATCTCTAAGAATCCACAGCAGATTTCATGTCAAAAATAGAGTTCTAATGCTGAAATGCATTTGAAAGCCTCTGTTCTATACAGCTATTATATCTGCCAAAGGATACTGTTAACATACTCTGACATTTGAAAATCCAAAATTTCCAACATTTAGAGCAACTTCACCTATAAGCCCCACCTTCTCTCATGTTTTCCCTCTTTTCGCCCTCTCATTTTTCTCTTCTTTCTTCCTAGCCTCCTCATATATCATCTCTTCCCTCATTCTCAACTGTGTGTGGCATAGAACTGCTGTATATTTGTGTTTGTGTGTTTACCACTGGTCAATAATAAGCATGTTAACTATTCTTTTCTTCTTAAATTAAGATTCTTTTTCTTGTGGATGGTGTAGTCAATCAATAAAGATTTTTCTCAGTGATTATTAGAAGCCTTGACTTGTTTCCCATAGCACAAGTAGAAGGAGAACAGGAAGAATCTGCAAAAGATGTTTGTGTTACAAATCAAAGGAAAAATGTTATACTTCTGGGCATAAATCTTTAAAAGAAGGAGTCTTTAATCTTAAAGTGAACTATCACAGACTTCAATATCCAGATGCAAGTGGACAGGCCATAGATTAGGTTAGAAAGAGCTCTTAAACCATTCTACTGATGTAAGTAGCCATGCAAGATAACCAGCATCTACCAGGCAAAGCCACCCAGTGAAAACACAAATTAGAACTCTAAGATTTAGTCTCTGCCCAAAATATCAAGTTAGAGATATGTCTATCTTCAAAAGTAACCCAAAATGAAAAAAAAAGGCCATATCTGGCTCTTAATACTCAGTTCACAAAGAGAAGAATAAACAATAAATGCTATAAGAGCTTAGATATGGATTAGTATGAAGAGGAATAGTATGTGGACTTTGCATAGGTAGAAACCATTTCAATTGTGGGGTGGAAGGTATAGGGCCAGAATGGTAAGTAAAAAACTGAGAAATACAGAGTGGGGCCAGATTGTAGCTCACTTTATCCCACAAACACTTTGAAGCTGTCAGGCATTGCACAGACAAGAAAATGGTAGAGCAAAAAGCCTGAGGGGAACCAGGTGACTTTCACAAGTACCTGACAATCCATGCCTTATATTTATACAGAGCTTTCACATGCATAATATCATTTAATTTTCACAATAATCTTGATTGAAATAAACATTTCCAAACTACTTCCTCTCCAAACTAAGTCCAGCTAATAAAACCAAAGCTAAAATTCCATTAAAGATTTAACTCAAGATATTCAACCCCAGAGACTCTCGATTAGCTTTCTAAAGATGATGACTGAGGGATAAATCACGTCATCTCCATTGCTTTTATTTTTATGGATTATAACCAATTTAAAGCCAAAAAATTGGTTTTAATCAATCAGTCAGATTGGCAGAATCTGTTGTTACAAGATTATAAAATCCAACTTTCAACCTACCTTCTCTTTGAGAGGCTCGTGACATGTGTTTCTCAGAAGAATTAGAATCACTATGATGACAAGGTGAGCCAGAAACTCTAGGACCAGATGAACTTGATGAAGTGGTCAAATCTTAAAAATATTAAAAAAATTCTGACAGTAAACCTAGCATAACTCTGGTAGTGGCTCTTAACTTTTTAATTACTCGAACCATAGTTTCAAAATTTTAAAAATAAATGCTCATATAAAACTGGCCTATAACAAAGACTAAGGAAGGCAAGACAGCTCTTTGAAGTGTTTTAACATCTAGTCCCTTTCTGAATCTTTTATATCAAAGACTTGACAATATGAAATAAAACTGAAAAACCAAATAATCATAGGAGCATCTTTGGATCCTCATCATTTCTGTACTAAAATGGGATAAAAAAAAAATTCAATGAAAATGAAAACTAAGCTCTTAAGCCTATAGTTTAATGATAAAATAGGGTCCAAACAACAGGTCCATTACCAGAAACATGAAGAGATTCTTCTTTAAGTATACCAAAAACTTCCATTATCATTCTTGAAATTATATGAATAGCCTTTTTTTCTTTTTGAGACAGGGATCTTGCTATGTTGCCCAGGCTGGACTCTTAATTCCTAGGTTCAAGTAATCCTTCTGCCTCAGCCTCAGCCTCCTGAGTGGCTGGGCCTACAGGCATGTGCCACTATGCCAAGTTTATGTAAATACCCTGAGATGTGACACAAAGTTTACATTGAAAAAAATTAAATGAGTATCAGGTAGTGGAGTCTGATATATTACTCCAAATAGCAATCTCTATTTCATCATCACATTTCACTAGTGGTCCCATGCCTATGTTAGGAATTCATACTAGTCTAATTTCCTGTAACATTTAGTATCAGAATTATCCTTAGAAGACTGAAAACCTGGCAGGGCGCAGTGGCTCACGCCTGTAATCCCAACACTTTGGGAGGCTAAGGAAGGCAGATCATGAGGTCAAGAGATCAAGAGCATCCTGGCCAACATGGTGAAACCCCATCTCTACTAAAAATACAAAAATTAGTCTTTTTTTTTTTTAAGTGGCTGTAGTCACAGCTACTCGGGATGCTGAGGCAGGAGTATCACTTGAACCCGGGAGATGGAGATTGCAGTGGCCCCAGATCATGTCACTGCACTCCAACCTGGCGACAAAGTGAGACTCCGTCTCAAAAAATAAAAATAAAAAACCTTGTGGGTTTTTGAGTTGAAACAGGCCAACCAGACATTCTAAATCACTATTTCTCACTAAGCTAAAGCTGCTTACCTTTTTTAACTTAAAAGGCAAATTTGAATCTAAAAGGATTATACTCGTATATTTATGAAATCGCTTGTTTGCAAGTAAGTTGGTAAAACTTAAATTTCTACTTTTACCAGTTACACCAGGCAACTGCAGTACAATGATGTCTGTACTTTCCCAAAGGAATCTTCAGAAGTAGCCCTGTGTACATGGGGAAAGATTCCAACCTTTTTTTTTTTTTTTTTCATTTTCTTTCTTTTTTTTTTGTTTGTTTGTGGACACAGGGTCTCTCTCTGTTGCCAGGGCTGGAGTGCAGTGGGGCACAATCATGGCTGGCTGCTGCCTCAGCCTACCAAGCTCAGGTGATCCCCCCATCCCAGCTGAGTAGATGGGACTATAGAGGCATGCCACCATATATGGCTAATGTTTGTATTTTCTGTAGAGACAGGGTTTCACCATGTTGCCCAGACTGATCACAAATTCCTGGGCTCAAGCAATCCGCCCACCTCAGTCTCCCAAAGTGCCAGGATTACAAGCATGAGCCACTGCACCTGGCTAAATTTTTAAGTTATTTGTAGAGATGAGGTCTCCCTATGTTGCCTAGGCTAGTCTTGAAATCCTGGGCTCAAGCGATCCTCCAACCTTGGCCTCCCAAAGGGTTGGGATTACAGGTGTGAGCCCCCGCACCTGGCCCCAGCCATGTGAAGCTGCCTTTTAATAGCAATTTATTAGCATTATGTTCCAAATGCTTACGTCTTTTTTCCCCTGGATTTTAAATGATGGGTATGTCCCCAGACCAGTCCCCTCTTTCCCAAAGGTAGATGAAATATAGTCTTTTTAAAAATTACATAATGTTAATAAAATACAAAACTTAAGTTTTTCAGAACCCTAAACTCACTTAAGTCTAACAAAATCAGCAATGGGAAGAGAGACAGAGCTTTAGCAAGAGTGTTTAGAGAGTAATGAGATAAGATGGGACCAGCTGCCTGTGTCTGGACATCTATAAGTCTAGAGTACAGATAGACTTGAAACTAAAACTCTATATTCACCATGACTTAATAAAAGCTCTGCTTGATTCCAGAGGGCTTAAGACCTTGTGCCATTATGAGTTTTTGAGATAGTGATGATTCAAAATTACTGATGAAAAGATCCTGGTGCTAGCATAAAGCTAAAGAAAATATTTTTAGCGTCAGCAGTTATTCCTCCTAGTCCACTTGTGATTCAGAGGTACATATTAATGATATGTCAGACATACATACAAATCATTATACTTGCTTGGATAAAAAGCCATCACTGAGCTTTCTGAGGAATGCCTTTTAATTGTCTTCCCCTTTTCCTGCTATCATTTTTGGATAAGAAACATATATCGTCTCTATTTTTGAGATTCTTGAGAAGAATCTTTTTTGCCAACAAAGAAAAGCTTACCTGAACTTGAAGTAGTTCTTCTTGCTCTTAAAATGGGATAGCTGCCTACTTCTAAAGACTTGGTTAAGTCAAGGTCATGCAAAATTAAGAGATATCCAGAGGATGTTGAAATCAACATTTTGGAACAATCTGGTGTTAACCTCATTCGCATGAGAAAACGTGTGTGAAAGAATTTCTTATGTGGACACCCATCTTCTGTATACCTACAGGAGAAACCAAGCCAACAAAATCTAGAGTTATCATAAATATAATGGTTCAGTAATAATCATATCTTTTTGCCTTTCAAAATAGAATTTAGGGAGGATGAGGAGAGCTTGTCAATGGGTTCAAAGTTACAATTAGGAAGAATAAGTTCTAGGGTAATATATTGCACAGTAGGGTGATAATGGTTAATAGTAAGATACAGTATATTATAAAATAGCTAGAAGAGTGACTGTTACATTTCCTCACCACAAAGGAATGATAAGTGCATGCTAAATACTGTTTTGCTCATTATACAACAGACATGTATCAAAACATCAAGTTGTACCCTATAAATGTGTACAGTTACAATGTATCAATTAACAAATATTTGAGGTTAGGCATGGTGGCTCATGCCTATAACCCCAACACTTTGGGAGGCCAAGACAGGAAGATTGCTTGAGTCTAGGAGTTCAAGACCATCCTAGGCAAGATGGTGAGCCCCCATCCCTACAAAAATTTTAAAAATTAAAATAGCTGAATGTGGTGGTGTGTACCTGTAGTTCCAACTACTCAGGAGGCTGAGGTGGGAGGATCACTTGAACCTAGGAGTTTGAGGCTGCAGTGAGCTATGATCATACCACTGTACTCCAGCCTAGGTGACACACAGACCCTGTCTCTATTAAAAACAAAAATTGAAACTTCAAAAACGAGACGTCTTTCCAATAAATTTTACTTCTTATGTTAATAATTACTAATATTTAAAATAATACATGTTGTTTTAATTTTGAACTCATAATATTGTAATCATTAAATCCAGGATAAATATAACACTAATAGCCCTGTGGTCACAGAAAACAAATTTTAAAATTAATGTCAGTTTACATGCATATTTTTGATGCAGATAAGAATGATCAGTAGGCAGGGTGTGGTGGCTCACACCTACAATCCCAATACTTTAAAGGCTGAGGTGGTAGGATCAATGGAGTCCAGGAGTTCAAGACCAAACTGGGTAACATCACAAGATTATGTCTCTACAAAAAATAAAAGCTGGAGACTGAGGTAGGAGGATGGCTTGAGCCTGGGAAGTGGAGGGTTCAGCGAGCTATGATTGTGCCACTGCATACCAGCTTGAGCATATAGCAGGATATAATTCTATGAGAAAAATATAATGAAAATATGAGTACCAGAGGAAAAAGTTGTGAAACTTTTAGCTGTTAAAAAAATAGAATTTAGGCCGGGCGCGGTGGCTCAAGCCTGTAATCCCAGCACTTTGGGAGGCCGAGGCGGGTGGATCACGAGGTCAAGAGATCGAGACCATCCTGGTCAACATGGTGAAACCCCGTCTCTACTAAAAATACAAAAACATTAGCTGGGCATGGTGGTGCGTGCCTGTAATCCCAGCTACTCAGGAGGCTGAGGCAGGAGAATTGCCTGAACCCATGAGGTGGAGGTTGCGGTGAGCCGAGATCGCGCCATTGCACTCCAGCCTGGGTAACGAGTGAAACTCTGTCTCAAAAAAAAAAAAAGAATTTAAAGTCAATGTATATGTAGATTTACATACATGCTTAACAATCCTTTTGCTCATCATTCCTTCATTCAGCTCCAACATTCCTTTTTTGATCCTTTCTTTCTGAAGTGTATCCCTCAGATTTTTTTTTTTTTTTTTTTTTTTTTTTGAGACAGAGTTTCGCTCTTGTCACCTAGGCTGGAGTGCAATGGTACAATCTCGGCTCACTGCAACCTCCGCCTCCAGGGTTCAAGCGATTCTCCTCCCTTAGCCTCCCGAGTAGCTGGGACTACAGGAATGTGCTACCATTCCCTTGGTAATTTTTGTATTTTTAGTAGATATGGGGCCAGGCTGGTCTCAAACTCCTGACTTCAGGTGATCCACCTGCCTCGGCCTCCTCCCAAAGTGCTAGGATTACAGGCACGAGCGACCAGGCCTGGCCAGAATTTTTCAAAGTTAAACTTTGTCGAGGTAAATTATCTCACTTTTTGTTGCTCTGAAAATCTTTTTTTTTTTTTAAAGACAGAGTTTCATTCTTGTTACCCAGGCTGAGTGCAATGGTGCGATTTCAGCTCACTGCAATGTCCACCTACCGGACTTTAATGCTTCTCCTGCCTCAGCCTCCTGAATAGCTGGGATTACAGGTGCCTACCACCACATCCAGCTAATTTTTTTTATTTTTAGTAGAGATAGGGTTTCACCATGTTGGCCAGGCTGGTCTCCCAACTCCTGACCTCTGGTGATCTACCGCCCTCCCAAAGTGCTGGGATTACAGGCATAAGCCACCATGCTGGCCTGTTCTAAAAATCTTTATTTCATACTTTTTTTTAAGAGACTGGGTCTCCCTCTGTTGCCCAGGCTGGGGTGCAGTGGCACAATCACGGTTCACTGTAACCTCAAATTCCCAGGCTCAAGGGATCCTCCCACTTCATCCTTCCAAGTAGCTGGAACTACAGGTGCGCACCACCACTCCTGGCTAATTTTTAAATTTTTTGTAGAGATGAGGTCTTGCTATGTTGTCCAGGCTAGTCTTGAACACCTGGTCTCAAGTGATCCTCCCACTTCAGCCTCTCAAAGTGCTGAGATTGTAAGTATGAGCCAGTATGTCCAGCTCAACTCAACTGAATAAAGGTTTAGCTGAGCATATAATCTTAGGTTGTTATTTCTTTCTGAATATTTAGGATAATGTTCCACAGGGTTTTAGCTTCCATTGTTACTGTTTATGAGTTTGCTATTAGTCTGACATTACTTTGGATAATTTATCTTTTTACCCCCTCTGGCTAATCTTCTGTCTATTTAGAGTACTGTAATTTCATTGGTATATGTAAATTTGGATCTCTGCTTATTTATTTTTATTGGGATTTGTTTGACTTTCCAAGCCTTAACATTCATATTATTCATATATTCTAAAAGTTTCTCAGTCATTATTCCAATATTGCCCTTCACTGATCTTCTCTCTTCTTTTGGAGTTCCAAATATATGTTTCAGACATTTATGTTTGACTCTCCTTGTCTTACAACTTGCTTTTCATATTTTCTATCTCTTCATTTCCATATGTTATATTCTAGGTAACTTTTCAATGTCTATCTTCTAATAGATTTTTTCTTTCTTTTTTTTTTTTTTTTGAGGCAGGGTCTCACTCTGTCACCCAGGCTGGAATGCAGTGGCGTGATCTTGGCTTACTGCAACCTCCGCCTCCCAGGTTCAAATGATTCTCCCGCCTCAGCCTCCCAAGTAACTGGGATTACAGGTGCCTGTCACCATACCCGGCTAATTTTTGTATTTTTAGTAAAGACAGGGTTTCACCCTGTTGGCCAGGCTAGTCTCAAACTTCTATCCTCAAGTGATCCACCCGCCTTGGCCTCCCAAAGTGCTGGGATTACAGGCATGAGCTACTGTGCCCAGGCAGTTTATGACGTTATTTTAAAATTTGCTTATTGGCTAGGTGCAGTGGCTGATACCTGTAATCCCAGTACTTTAGGTGGCTGAGCGGGGAGGACCACTTGAGCCAGGAGTTAGAGACCATCATGGGGAACATAATGAGATGCTGTCTCCACAAACAAATTTAAAAGTAGCGAGGCGGAGTTGCATACACCTGTGGTCCCTGCTACTCGAGAGGCTGAGGTAGGAGGATGGCTTGAGACCAGGAGGTCAAGGTGATAGTAAGCTATGATTGTGCCACTATATTCCAGCTTGAGCAACAGGGTGAGACCGTGTCTCAAAAAAAAAAAAAAAGAAAAAAATTTTTTTTTTTTTTTGGACAGAGTCTCACTCTGTCACCCAGGCTGGATTGCAATGGCACAATCTCGGCCCACTGCAACCTCTGCCTCCCAGGTTCAAGCAATTATCCTGCCCTAGCCTCCCAAGTAGGTGGGATTACAGGCGTGTGGCACCACACCAGGCTAATTTTTTTATTTTTAGTAGAGACAGGGTTTCACCATGTTGGCCAGGCTGGTCTTGAACTTCTGACCTCAAGTGATCTGCCCGCCTTGGCATCCCAAAGTGCTGGGATTACAGGCGAGAGCCACCATGCCAGGCCTAAAAAAAAAAATAAATTATTTTAATGGTTTACTTGATATCTGAAATATTGTGGAATGGCTAAATCAAGCTAACTAATATATACATTACATTACCTTACATACTTAGCATTTATGATAACACTTAAAATCTACTTTTAATAAATTTCACTTATATAACAACAGTAAATTGTCATTAACAATGATCACTATGTTGTACAATATAAATCTCTTGAACTTATTCCTCCTAACTGAAATTTTGTACTTTTTGACCAACATTTCCCCTCTACTGTACTCCACCCACCTGTCCCCAGTCCCGGCTAACCACCATTCTACTATCTGCTTCTATGAGTTTTTGACTTTATTAGATTCTACATATAAGTGATATTTGTCTTTCTGAGCCTGGCTTATTTTGCTTAATATAATGTCCTCCAGGCTCATTCATGTTGTTGCAAATGACAAAATTTCCTTATTTTTTAAGGCTGAATAGTATTTCGCTGTGTATATGACAACATTTTTAATACATTCATTTATTGATGGATGTTTAGGTTAACTCCTAATGTTGGCTATTGTGAATAGTGCTGCAATGAACATGGGAGTGCAGATAACTTTTTGACATAGTGATTTAATTTCCTTTGGATATATACCTAGTAGAAGAATTGTTGGACTTATATGGTAGTTCTTTTTTGATTTTTTGAGGAACCTCTACTGTTTTCCGTAATTTATATCAAATGGCCTTTGTTAACTCTAACTGATAATTTCTCTGAGGAATTTCTAAGATTTTCTATATAGATCAGGGGTTAGAAAACTTTGGCCCATGGGCCAAATCTGGCCCACTTACTGGTTTTATTTATTTTTTATAGACAGGGTGTCAATCTGTTACCCAGGCTAGAGTACACTGGTACAATCATGGCTCACTGCAACCTTGAACTCCTGGGCTCAAGGGATCCTCCTGTCTCAGCCTCCTGAGTACTTGGGATTACAGGTACACATGGCC